GATTTGGGGGCCGCAACAGTGAAGCCGACGATAACTGCCCACCCATGCTGTTTCTCCTAGCCGGCAGTCTTCCGATGCCCACGATTAGGCCAACTCAAGTTGATCCCAATCTTTGGTTTCCGCACGTCGCGGAACCAGCGGCCCGTCGAACTCCCATAGTAAAAGGGACTGGCCAAGAATAATGTTCCGATTTCAAATCCTCCACCTCTAGATCATTGACACGCGCCCACCGGCAACCGTCAGTCATCCATCGTCACTCTTCCAACCCCACGTCATATCATTCGATTCTCACACTCTTTTTGACTTGGCTTCTTCAATATGAAGCTTCATTACGCTCTTTCTATTCTGCCCTACTTCAGCAGCGGCGTTCTTGGGTTCCCTGCATACGCGGCTGATGCTCTCAGAGAAGAGCTCTCATCCAAGCTCTCCGGACACATCGTCAGCGCATTCCACGAAGTACACGAGAAGAGGCTTCTTTTCGACCCATTGACAACACCCATCGATGTCAGCGGCGACCATGAGTTCATCGCACCCGACTTCAAGAACGGCGCCCAGCGTGGTCCCTGCCCAGGGCTGAACGCCCTGGCGAACCACGGCTACATCAGCCGCAAGGGCGTGACGAGCTTGGTCGAGGTCACGGCTGCCATCAACTCGGTCTTTGGCATGGGATTGGAGCTTTCCACGATTTTGGGAGTGATGGGAACTGTCTTCGTCGGAAACCCTCTGTCCCTCAACCCAGGGTTCTCCATCGGAGACGCTGCCAGCGGATCCAACAACATCTTGGGCAATCTTATTGGTCTCCTTGGTACGCCACGCGGACTGAATGGCTCCCACAATATCATCGAGGGAGATTCATCCAACACCAGAGCCGATTTGTACATGACGGGAGACGCTTCCACCATGGTTATGGATCAGTTCCAATCCTTCTACGACATGTCATCCGGCGAGGGTGATTACAACTTTGAGCTGTTCGCCGACAGAGCCTCTATTCGCTTCAACGAGACTATTGCAACCAACCCGAACTTCTACTATGGTCCTTTTACCGGCATGATTGCTCGCAATGCGGGTTTCTTGTTTGCTTGCCGCTTGTTTGCAAACCACTCTTCCGAGAACCCCACAGGCCTCTTGAGTAAGTGATCAGCTCCAGATCCAAGACGGGGGCAAAATGCTGATTCTGTTCAGACAAAGCAACTCTGAAGAGCTTCTTCGCTGTGGAGGGTGAAGAGGGCAATCTCACGTACAACAGAGGTTGGGAACGTATTCCAGAGAACTGGTACCGTACTCCTGTGGACTACGGCTTGGTCCAGCTGAACTTGGATATCCTCGCCTGGATCGCCAAGTACCCCGAGTTGGGAAGGCACGTGTATTCAATCCGATTCCATAAGTGAAGAAGCATCACGCTAACGAGTATCGCTCTACAGCATTGGCGGAAACATGGGAAAAGTCAACAGCTTTGCGGGAGTCAACCTAGCTGACCTCACCGGCGGTGTGCTGAATCTCACCAAGCTTTTGGAAGGCAACAACCTGTTGTGCTTCGTCTTTGAGATTCTTAAGACTGCCTCTCCGAACTCGCTGTCTACAATCTTCACCATCATTGAGGCACCTCTAAAGCTTGTTACTGACACCGTTGGCGCGGCTATCCTTAACCTGGCCTGCCCGGCCTTCAAGGATATGACCGTAGGCGGGAAGAGTCTGGATGAAGGACTCAAGGCACAGTACCCCGGCGCAAAGATGGCTGACAACATCCTTTGAGATGATCATCCTCGTCTCTGAGTACCATGATTCAGCATAATGTAGAACCAAACTTGTACAAGCGACAAGACTATCATCAGCCGATGGTTACCCCATTTAATTCATAACCATGCCGTTGAGGCAATCGAACTGCTACCTTTCGCTCTTTGGATTTAAGGGAGACTTGGATTGTGAACGCGAGTTGATCATTTTTTCCGACCAACTCCCACATTCTAAATTTACTGTCATTGTCAATGGCCTGAGAGTCACCAACGACATACATGCCGATGGAACTGAGCGGGGGAAGTGAGTGTGTTCACTAGTCGCTAATATATGATTAGGTAGCACTTGACTATAAAAGCAACAGCCGTGTATTACTGTACTTGACGGTCCACTATACCCTTCGTAACTATTGATCCGATTGAGAAATCAAGTACGCATGCTCAAGTACGGTACCAAGTTTGTTTGATCAGCAGTTGGTCAACCCAAAGTCCCTACAACCCTCATACTTCGTCTTATGTTTCGATACGACGTCGAAAGCGACGTGAAATTATTGAAAGCGCGTGCACGCTCGACAACAATATTCACAGAAATTGTACTTCAACGCATCATCATTTCATCATTCATCTTCTAATCTACATAGTCCAATCCAATCCTTTTGATAATTTTACAACTTGGCGTGCTTCTCGTTGACCAGAACATATCTGTAACGAGCATGGCCTTGCTCCATGTCAACAATAGCCTTGTTGGCGTCCTTGAGCGGGCGCTTCTGGACCCAAGGCTTGACCTTCTTCTCCTTGGCAAGCTCAAGCATCTCCCTGATGTCGGAGGGGGAGCCGATACCGCTACCACCGACCTTGATACCGCTGGCGAGAAGAGTGAAGGCGTTGATGGGGGGCAGGTTGCCACCGTCTGGGGCACCGACCTGGATGAAGGTGCCGTAAACCTTCAGGAGTCTAAGGTACTGTTGCAAAGGCATCTTCTCGCTTGACACGGTAGAAATGATGAGATCGATGGAGCGGGCATTGGTCTTGGACCAATCCTTGTCGTCGTCGGTCGCAATGTACTCGTCAGCTCCCAGCTTCAGGACCTCATCCTTCTTGGACGCCTTTCTGGAGATGCCAATGACCTTATCGGCACCAAGGGCCTTGGCGAAGAGCACAGCAAAGTGACCAAGGCCACCAACACCAACGACACCAACAGTCTTTCCAGGTCCGCAGCCGTTCTCCTTCAACGGAGAGAAGACCGTGATACCACCGCACAACATCGGCGCGGCATCTTCAGAAGGAATGCCCTCCGGGATCTTAATGACGAAGTGTCCGTTGGTTCTGTTGTAGTCGGCGTAGCCACCCATGGCCTTACCCTCGTCGTCGGGGTAGACGGAGCCGTATGTGCTGACGTTGGCGCGGCCGCAGTAGTTCTCGCGACCGATAGAGCACTCGGGGCAGTCGGATTTCATGCAGGAGCGAGCCTGAGCACCGACACCGACGCGGTCACCGATGGAAACATGCTTCACGTTCTTGCCGACGCGGACGGCCTTGCCCACGATCTCGTGTCCGACGCAGCAAGCTAGAGAAGAGACACATGTTAGCAAAGATCGATCGACAAATTCGTCCTTGGAAACCCCGCGTTTTGAATTGAGGCGGGGTAAAGAGGGAAAACTCACGATAAGGGGTCTCAGCCCAGCCCGAGCGGAGCATGTGAAGGTCAGAACCGCAGATACCGCAGTGGGAGATCTCAATGTCGACATCGTCCTCAGTCCACTTCTTGGGCTCGAACGCGCCCCATTCCATCTTTCCATTGACACTGTCGGGGCTGTGGCCGAGCCATCCTTCGAACTTAATGTCAGACATGATGATGTGTGTGTTGTGGTGTTGGGCTGCGATAAGCTGGCTCGTGTTGTTGACTTGGTGTTATCGGAGTCGATGTTCGTTTTTAAAGCTTGTAGAGCGCGAATTGATCAAGGAGATACTCGCAGTAACTTGGGAGGGGAACTGAGTTTATGTATGAACTTTTCGAATTCAAAGCTCCGAATCCACGGTCCATGACGGCATCCACAAATGCCGCGAGCTAGGACCCATTTCCCTCCGCTCATCATGTCATCAAGAACCTTCTTAACCGGAGCTAGCTGGAGTTAAGACGGCACTATACCGAGTGGAAACAGTCTGGACAGCTTGCCGGCATATTTACGGAGTCTTCCGACGCCCAGGGGCAACCGTCAATGCCGCGGACCGTCGGACGGGTTCGTGTTTTTTTGGTGGTTCTATCAGCTTTCAAGCTTCCAAGCTCGGTGGTGCTTGGGCCGGAAAGGACTAGCTTCGCCCGCCACTTCAGATGATGACGCAGAGAGGAGGGGTGGAATCTTCAGTGGGGTTGTTCTTGGAAACTGAGACATGTAATTGGATTAACTTGTTCTAACCCCAATGCCCCTCCACGGCCAAAAGTCCGGATTTCCTTTGCCCGCGGGGCAAGCGCGAGTCAGATAAGCTGACGTTTCCATGCTGTTGTGCGGCGTAGCACAGCCTGTCAGTGAATGGACAATGCAGGCCAAGCGTAATATCCGTATGTACTCCGTACGCTTCCTCCCGAACAATACTGAAAGATCGGTTCCATTCTTTCTGCTGCAGCCTGCTGATGGAGGCGCTGACAGACTTTCTTCTTGGCTCGCTGGCTTGTTTCTAGTTCCCTTTCCAACCTAAGGGTACGCAGACATGTGCGTTAGTGTGCTTGGTATGCACTAAGATGCTTATTGCCGATCGTCCGGGACGCCGGCGTCGCGTGTCATTCGATCGCATCGCAGATTCGCAGAATAGCCTTTGATTTCCCCTCAGCTAGCCTGTGCTGTCCTGGCTGCCCTCCCTTTGTGTTACGCCGCTTCCGCGGCATCATTACAAATTCCTAATATCCATCGGTGATAGGCTATGAGGGAGGTTACCATCGGCGTTTACCCTGCATGACATGATACATTTCCACGGGGGGTGATTGATTTAGCCGTGAAGCTGGTTCCAGTCTCACGTCTCTAAAATGTGCCTATCCGTACCTCAGTTTCTACCAACTAAGTTATTTTTATACTCCCGGACTTAAGAGCACTGAACTCTACGACGACGAGCCGAGGTACAGCATGATATCAGGAAATTCAATTGGCAAACATGCTACAACCTCGATGCTTACGTGTAGTCACCATCCTGAAGCGAGGTAGCGACAACCACACGCTTAGTCTGGGAGCTCGGGAGCGAGATTGAGTGTGTTTTCCCCGTGAAAGACTGAGCCTCCCTGCGATTGTCAATCGTGACGTTGATGGTTGCACAAAACATCAAACACTGCATCGAAAGAACCGGCAACACCCAGAGGAGTGTATGACGAGAGTACACAGTTGAATTCATTCGCCATGATTCGACAGTACTAAGTAAGTATGAACATGAAGGTGAAGTATTTACATCTCGTTCAACCAACAGGGCCTACAGAACCCAACCCCACCTCTACCCCGCCATGCCTGAAAGTGCCATACCCTCCCTACGTCTTGCTCATTACCCGAGAAAGAGAGAGTGATCTCATGGTTGATGGACTGCAGATTCTCAGAGACACTGAGAGTAGTAGTCATTGGACTTCGTGCAGACGTAAGGAGACTGGCACGTAGTAGACCCAGTCCAGCCAATACCACCGCACTGGCCCCAGCGAACCTGCCCCGTGCCAGAGGCAGCAGTACTCGTAGTCGCAGCAGCAGAAGTAGTTGTCGTAATCAAAGTCGTCGCGCGAGAAGTCGTAGTTGGAACGGCACCAGTGGCAGCAGCAGCGAGAACGGACGAAACAGACGTGTACGCAGGCTTCTTGTTAAAGCTTGCATCCCAGAGCAGAGCATCACCGGCACCGCTGAAAGTCTCGGGGATCCAGCTGTACTTGTCGGTGAAGCCCCAGATGGTGACACCGACGCACCCAGCAACGTCCAGGCAGGAGCCGACGACGTTGGCGTAGTCGTTACCCTGGGTAACGAGGGCGGCGCTGGAGGCGGGCAGGCTGGAGTGTCGGATGTCGAGCTCCGTGTAGGCGACTTCGAGGTTGAGGGCGGTGAAGCGGCGAAGGGCGGTCGCGAGGGCGCTGCGGCCCGGGGTGGAGCCCACGATCAGGTGGCCCTGGAAGCCGACGCCGTCGATGGGGGCGCCGGCATTCTGGACAATGGTGACGGCCTCATAGACGCGGTTGGTCTTTGCGCCGTTGTACTCTAGGTTGTAGTCGTTGTAATAGCTAAGTCGTTGCGTTAGTGATGGGATTTAGTCGCGAGAGGTAGATGCCTTTTTGACTTACAGCTTCGCGTTGGGGTCAGCGGCCCTGGCGGCTCTAAAGGAGATGGGGAGGTAATCCGTGCCGAGAACAGTGTAGAAAACGCTGGTGCGCCAGCTTCCGTCGTCGGCTGCGGCTTCATTGACGACGTCCCAGGCGTAGCACTGGCCAAGGTAGTGCTTCAAAACGTTGGAAATGTGCGTGTTGATGACGGCAGTCAGAGTTGCTGCTGTCCATGATCCGCTCGAGACCCAGTTTGGGAGTTGAGAGTGCCTAGTTCCTGGTCAGAGTTGCGCACCACCAACACCTAGATGTGAGGGGGGTTTACCATGTTAACGTGTGGCATCTCAAAATCTGTCCGTTTGCCTTTGCAATATTCGGGATCTTGGCGAAGTCATCTCGTTAGCCAGCGTCCAGTCTAGCGATTCGGATCCCAGCGATTGGCGCTTCACATACGACATCTCCTGAGGTGTAAGAGAAGGTGTTCTGAGTAGGCTCGGTGTACGCCCACTTTTGTCCGTTCTCAGGTACCAGGGAACCGAAGTCAGCGGTGTTGTTGACGATGGCCATGTAGGCGGCATCCGTGGTAGTGCGGCGCTCATCGACGGCCGTGCCGAAGTATTTCAGACCGGCGCGGACGGCAAGGGTGTTGAGCTGAGCCGACACGAGGCCGGAGCCCAGCAAAACCGCGAGAACAGCCTTGGCGTACATGATGTTTGGCTCTCTGATATTGAGTGATGATCGATTATCTGATCGATGCGCACGCGTCTGGCAACTGGAGCATCACCTCCAACTGACGTCTTCCATGTGACGGGCACCGTAGACTTATAGATGGTCTCGAACCACCATCGCCGCCGAGTTCCCAGCCGGGGTCACATTGCATGGCGTTCAGCTTCCGGTCGTGGCTCTCATCAGGATGTCTGACCATCGGACATGATCTTGGAATAGTCTTGCATTGTCAACTTTTCCACGTGGGGTGTGGCATCGCCGGCCCGAAGGATGTGCTTCCCGCTGCTAACCACACTCGCAAAAGTTGGGGAAATCATCGTGAGCGTTCAGCATCAAGCAGTTCGGGCCATCAGATCTCCTGCAAACCCATTCAACCTTTTTACCCGGAGTCAACCTCTCTCGATCGCGTCATGTGCAGATTGCTGAGAACTCTTTTGGTGTCTCACTGTACCAAATGGGCACACTGGCCGCGCAAGTCAGACGGAGCAACAGCAGCAGTGCCGTGGCCATGTCTGGCAAACTGACTTGGCGCTCGGAGGATGCTCCGAGAATTTCTGTGCCTGGGCTAGCGCGAGGAGGGAGAAAGTGGGCATCCCGCCTGCGCCGTAGGCCTATAATCAAGGATTTCCACATGGTCGCATGTGAGCGCGGGGTTGCTGCGCAGACGGAGGAAACAGAAGAAAGGGTTTATTCGAGAAAGAAAGGTTGTCATGGTACGCAAGTGGTGGGCGTCGACGAGCTCATTTCAAGGTCTGGGTCCAGATACCGAGATCTGAGGATATTCCACCAGTAGTCACCCACGGTGCGATACTGAAATTCAAATTCGAGGGTCTTTGGTGAACGCCCTGATAGTCAGGGAACCGTGGCTACGGGAAAGTCAAGGGTCAGCCCATTGCCGCACTCCCATATTAGCCTGAATTTCTTTTCGTTTGCCTTCCCGTTGGAGTTACATCGCAGCAGGCGTCTGATGCTTGGCAGGACAGCCAATTTGATGTCGCAGACGCGCTTGTTTGGAAATGGAAAATCGGCCACCGCCAGCTATCAACCGCAACAATTTGAGCATGCGATCGACGGGCAGTGAAAGGTTCAGTGGAGCATTTTCGTAACTATTTGCAGTCCCGGTATTCCGATCTTAGCAAGATTGGTACACGATTTGTGGTCACTTGCTTGACGCGTATCATGAAGTTGAGGGAGTCAGATTAATCGCGATGGAACTCCAGCTAGCTGCACCTTCTTCTCCAATTCTAGTCTGGACGTAGCGGCAACTTCCAAAACTCAAACGCAAATTTGCGTTCCACATGCCCCAAGCGCGCTCAGACATAGACATCTGTCAAGAACCTCTCCTCAACACCAGGCATTTCAGCAAAGTTGTGAATGATGCCCTCAGCAAAAAATACATGATCAGTGGGAGGCTTGAACTCCCGGCCTTGGCATTACACAACATTTCAGGTGAAATATTAGTACCACGCTCTGACCAACTGAGCTAACCGACCCGTCTCCGAATTGGTGATCGAGAGCGGGACGGCACTCAAGACGGGACGAGCTGCCCTCGGCTCCACAAGAACAACCTGCGGGCTCATTCACCCCGAACAAGGGGGCAAGATCGAGGACAAAGCTGCAACACCTTGTCTCTCACTGAAGTCCGCTTCTTTGAAGATTTCTTAGTTTTGATTCAACAGTCTTTACGAAACTTTGGTTGAATTGTTGGCATAGACTCTACGAGAGTTGTCTAGAGGCGGAACCGACAGCCAGATGGAAGTCGCCTTTATTTGGCCGCACCTCGAACGCTCTCATAGCTACAAGTCAAGTCTAACAACTCTCTCAACTCTCGCTATAGAATTCTAAAAACAAACATTAGTTTCTTATATAGAATAACTCAAGAGTACTTGTATCTGCAGTTAGACTTGATGCAGTAGCTTTAGTAAACTGCATCTTCAACTTGTCTTGACACAAAACTCGGCAACAACTTACACCATAGAAGCCCAAGCAGTGCTTGACCCACGATGTCGCTCCAATCTGAGCGCAGTCGATCTGAGGCGCCATCCTCCGCAACCAGCCGCACGCTTCCGGGTAGTCGGCGATTACGTCGTCGCGCTGGTAACTTTTCATTGCGAGTTTCCACCCGGGCTATACCGCTCGAATTCGATGCAGCGAGCTCTGTAGAAGACGCTGGCACAAGCGAATACTCAGACTCAATCGCAGCCAACGGCACCGTCATCAGACTTCCTGACATGGAGTGCTACTTGGGTCAAGGTTCGATGACGATTGAGTGCGAAGTAGACGGCCCCTTCGTGATCACACCTTGGCGTCCAACTGATACCAGCAACAGTGCGACATCGTCGGACGCAGGATCTCTGGTGCCCGCCTTGATCAGCCGTCCTAACCATTACCCCTCCAACAGATTGAATCTTTCAGCTCCAGAGTCTTCGCGAGGCCGTCGGAAATTTGAGGTGAGTTCTACGCTTGGTGGGGAAGCGTCCCATCGACAATTTGGATTCCACGGCGAGCCATTCTCACCATCTCTCCGCTCGCGACGGATGGAAATGTTTTATCGAGACAGCATTGCTCCAGTCCCCTTGATGCCGGTGTTTTCGGAAGTCAGCAGCGTTTCCAGCAGTTCCCAGCGACTCCCCTCGTCCCCGATAACCCCCCCACCTCAGTACTCTGAATTAGTTCACCTTGTTGGGACTCGAAATTGGACCTCCAGCCTGGAAGAGCAGCAGGCGCTGGAGGCCGCTGCAGATGACCTTTCTGACATCTGGGATTCTAGTATTTGATTGTTGGGTATGAGAAAATTGGACTGTTATTTGGGCGTTTGGGGCTTTCTCGTTTGCAACATAGGGGAGGGAGTTTTAGTTGGGGAATGGACATGAGGAAGAGGAAGTCTAGAACAATTTGAACGCGAATTGGAATGTTTTCGTTTCTAAGATGATAGTCTTATGATTTTAAGCTTTCTAGTGTAACCATGATTACGAGCAGTACTACGTGCTCAAGTAGAAGTAGCACATCAAGACAAGCGAATATTATTGCAGCAAGTTCGTCTCACTGTCGCTTGGTAAAGCTCAACTGGCACTCATCCTTGAAACAAAGTTAGCATCAACAATCTAGACATTTAGACGTGGCCGAAGACTTACCATGGGGAACAGAGTAGCAAATACCCTAATCTCCTCCGACTTTTCCGTTGCATGATGCTTCCAGTCGATCTCCAACGCCGCCTTGCCAATCATGGCAGCCATCGTCAGCGGCACATACCTCCTTGCGAGGCAATCATGTGGCCCAGCGCCGAAAACCAGCCAATTCTTGGTCTTGGACTCGGCGTCTCCGGTGATCCATCGGTCAGGGTTGAAGAACTCGGGGTTGGGGTAGACCTCGGGGTCGTGTAGGGCCGGGTAGCACGATGGAATTATCATGGACCCCTTGGGGACGGTGTATTTCGGCGTGACGGGGAAGTTCTTTGTCGCGAGGTAGGGAACGAAGATGACGGGCGGCCGAAGGCGGAGGAGCTCCTTAATGACGGCGTTGGTGAAGGTGAGGGACTCCAGCATGGGTAGATCAAAGGGCTTCGTGCTATCACCGCCTCTCGCTACGAGGTTCTCCTCTCGAAGGCGTTGGACGACATCGGGGCGCTGCGCGAGAACTTGGAAGAGCCAGGTGGTGGCACTGCTTGACGCATCCTGCGATGCAAAGAGGAAGGTAAAGAGCGTCTCTGAGATCTCCTCATTTGTAAACTCTCTGATCATGTTCGAAGGCCTCACGGCATCAGTCTCCCCAGCAGCAACCTTCTCGCGATACTTGTTGGACTCCATCATATGCAGCACCCAGTGGTCGACAATGGATGTCGGTGTCGCGCCCTTGGCCATGTTGGCTTTACACGCGGCGGCGCACTTTGCGAACTCGGCGTGAACCTGATCAGCGACACGCTTGCCGAGCCAGACTTTTGTTCCGGGGATGTACATCGAGAGGGGGACGTTGACGAGTTCGAGGGCTGCGGTGACGAGGTAGAAGTCGTCGGCAATCTTCTTGACGGCGTCTTGGGAGATGTAGTCGCCAAAGAAGGTACGGCACGAGAGCGCGCAGTTGATTTCGCGGAAGAGAGCCATGTAAGCCATGGGGTTTCCGTTGTTTGCCTCGCTGGCGGCGACGAACTTGTCAAAGTACTCGCCCAGCACCTTCTCGTGAACCGGGAGATAGGTTGCCATTGCCTTGTTGGTGAACAGGGGCATCAAGCCCCTTCGATACTCGGCATGTTCCCTACCCTGGAGAAAGACCCAGGCCTTGTGGCCGAGGATGTCTTTTGCGATGGGTACGATGCAAGGCTCGGCGTAGGCTGGAGACTTGAAGACCTTGTGAGCAATGTCGCGATCAGAAGCGAGAACAACGAATCTGTAACACTAATTGTCAGTAAATCCGCCGGCATGGATTTGAGGAAGTTCTAGTCTTGAAATGGCTACTAACTTGTGGAAGACTGATACGCAGCTGAGAGGACCGCTCGCCCATTGTGCAAGGTACTCCTCGAATTTGGGGTGTAAAGCCTGGATGAAGGGTCCCATGAGGGGGATCTTAAACGTAGGTCCCGCAATCGAGCCTTTCCTTTTGAGATACATCACTAGCAATGCGTTAGTCTCGTTTGTATTGCCATAGAGGAGCTTTAAGTTCGTCCGTACCCTGATCGTACACCACCACGCCGAGAAGAAAAGTGACGATGTATTGCCATGTTGACCAGCCCGAAAAGAAAGCCGGCAGCGTGCCAGACGGGAGGACTGTCTCGTTAGACCATTTTTGCCTTACTTCAGGCTGCAAAATATGCGTGTCGACAATTGCTGAAGCCATCTTAAAGCATACAGTGGCATTGCTGGACCGTCTTTCCCGTCAGGGGAACAGCACAGGGGCATCTTAGCATCTCTTTAAAGGAAGCCAGTAGGCCCATCAAAACGTCAAAGGGGTCTTCGTCTTGCGTATTCGTATACTGTCGACACCACCAAAAACAGTCTCATTTCAACTGGGCTCCGTCTGGTTGGACCACATGCAGACATCGTTCGTTTCTCTTCCCAAACCGCGGGAGAAGCCAGCCCTGTGAAGTCTTGGCATCTCAATGACTTGCGGAGACTAAACCTCTTTCGGTAATCAACTCGACGTTTGTCAGCAAACAAAACTGGAGTTTGACAAGGGGGGGGGGAACTGAGCAGCGAGATCCCTCATCGATTGAAACTGCGGCGACTAAACCCCTTTCGGTCAGGGCACCGCAAGAAGCCAACTCACAAGCGGGAGCCAGCTCTCTCAGTCTCTCGCGGATACGCGGGCGAAGCTCTCAGACCATTGTCTCCACCATTGGATCACTTTCATCTTCCCTCCTTTCGTTGCTTCTCATCACCGGGGGACCATCGACTCACTTCAGTCCAATTCCTCCATGTCCTCATCCCCCAGTCCAGTCGATTTCGCACAACATGCGCCAAACCCTACGTCGGTCCTGTGCTGCGTGTGCAAAGTCTAAACACAGTTGCGACCTCCGCACGCCGCGGTGCTCCCGCTGCATCAAGCGCAGGGTCCTGTGCGCCTACGCCAACGAACCCCTGACGGCTGCGCCGGCAGCTTCCGGGTCCGCACCGGGGGGCAGCGCAACAACGTCGCCGGGACCTCCGCTGGACGGATCCGGTGCTTTGACCAACTACAGATTCGGTTCTCTTGATCCTTTTGACTCTTATCCTCAAACCAGACTTCCACGGGAGCAAGTGCAGCGTCTTATTCACAGTTGTAAGCACATCGCAACTAAAGCTCATTGGTCAACGTTTAGCTCACCAACCCACGTAGTTCTCCACAAGATCGCGTTCGAATACTACCCTCTAGACTTGAACGCGACGTCAAACCCATTCCTCGTCTCCTGGTGGCCACTAGCCCTCGGCGATCCGGCTTTGTTTCACGTCTCTTTACAAACAGCATGTCTCGACGAAGAGTTATTGGCTCAAAAAGGCTTCCAGTCATCAGAGATCTTGATGGCGGATTCAGTTGCTCTACTTCGCCGGAAGGTTCAAGACGACTCAATGGCTATCCAAGATGGAACCATGAATTCTGTTATCACTTTAGCAGCTATCGAGGTGAGCCTCAGCCTATCATCTCAGCCCGAAGTGTCAGGATGACTGAAAGCTTTTGCGTGTTCACTAACCCTCTCCATGCATCAGTTTGGTAAAGGCAACATCCAAGTGAGCAAAATGCACGTTGATGGAGTGAAAAGACTTGTCAACGTGCGGGGAGGGATCAATTCAGTAAGACAAACTAGTCCTCTTACTGCGAGAATGGTTAGCTGGTATGTTTGAATTATTGCTTAAGCCGAAAATTCTGTATTGACGTCGGAAAAGGGTGTCGATGATCGTCACCGGATTGCCGCAATTCGAAACGCAAAGCGATGCGGGCATTGGCGACGGAGTGTCTATGCCTCCGGAGTGGCAGATAGACCCAACTGTGTTGGACAGTAATCTGTCCTATCTTGGCGATATCAAGATCGAAAACGAGGTCGAAAACGTGTTGATACGGCTTCAAAGTATTTTCCGACGCGCGCAGCAAGTACCGCTACAACCAACAAGACTACATGATCTTTCATGTTTCGTCATACACCGACTTTTGCTATCAGTGCCAGGATCAGCAGAGCCACGCTCAGCAACTAGTGAAAGCATCCGTCTAGCGACTGTACTCTACATATTTATCATTCAGGGTCCGACATATTACTCGCACGCTGTGATATTCAACACGATTGTCAATCAGCTTATGGAAAGTCTGAAAGACCTAGCGCCCTACGCCCAGTCCTACAACACTCTCTTCATTTGGCTTCTGAACATAGGCATGGTTGCCTCACAGGGGACACAGCATTACACCTGGTTGACTGGCTTGGCAAGAGACGTTGTGGCATTCAACCAAGTGAAGAGTTGGGTCAGTGTGCTTGCCCATCTCAAAAGTGTTCTCTGGCTGGACATAGTCCACGGCGAAGACATTTTCCGACCACATTGGGACACTATTCTAGGAATTCAAAGTTGAAAAAATGTCGATACTCATGTTTTGAGTCTCAATAAAGTGCAGATGTACTGATTGATTGACCACAACGAGGGGCTAGTCCAGCTTGAGACATGACCAGTAACTCAAATAGGAGTAAGAGAGGGAATAGGTTTACATTGCACCGGCGAGTGAAGCCTCAAAGTCCGGACATACCAGGTTCTTTGAAGGTAGTAGTGAACATTCTTCGCAATCAATCACATCAAATGCTGAGGGCCGTAAATGGTTGTATCCTGCGCTCTCAGCGCGTGCTATTTTGCGCCCTGTGAGGAAATGCGCCAAAATAGGATGGAATCATTTATGAAACTGTTTCTCAGACCACTGCTACGGAACACATGTAATGCTCAACACATATCCTTAAGTAATTTCAACATACTTGCTTTTATCGCCTTCCATTTGCGATATGAAACAACAACCGACTTTTTACCTACTTAGTACTGATGTGATCTTGCTGCTGGCTGGCCGACCTGTTCTTGGCAAGTTGGAGCCGTCGCCCAGTTGGGCAATGTCAACTGCACTGATAAGGGGCGGTGGCTGGTCGCATACAACCGACCGCGACTCAATTTCCTCATTTCTATTGGCCACCCAGAAGGCTCGCGAGGGCGTTGGGTAGTCCAACTGCCTATCCCCCTCATCCCCTCATCGGAATATTGCCGCCGAAGTTGGCAGCCCATTCTTGACATTTCCACATCATTCCTGAATCAGTGAGTCAGTCAATATGCGCCTGGATCTGAGGAAGGGGTGGAGGAAAGTCATCCGTGGTTCGAAGGATAATGACGCCTCCAAAAAAGCCCTTCATAGCCCGCCGAGTCCTCAGGAGCAGGCAGATGAATTGGCGGAGAAGGCACTCAGCTCCAGCACCACCGATTCGTCAGGAACGCCGCGACCGATTTCAGCTACCGAACCGCTCAACCCGCCCAAGGAAGATCCACGAAACGGGCCGACCGAGAAGCCAGCGCTTCATAAATACAGCGGAGTATCTATTCGGCAGTTGTGGGATGTGGCATATCAAAACCTGCGAAATCAGGAAGAAAATCTTGTCCAAGAGTTTGAGGATCAGATATGTGGCAACTTGAGTGCCGGCCTTGGCGCCGGCATACGTTCACAGGCCGGAACGAAAGATTGGCTGGCAACGATTCTCAAGCACAAGATGGACCAAGTCAACCGAGAATCTTGTAAGTTGAAGTTTGGGAGCTCCGAGGTTGAAGTCCAGGATATTGTAAAACCCATCCTGGCTGTGGTCGATTGGGCTAATGACTTCGTGGCGAAAGCTGTGATCTCCAATCCCTATGCGTCAATTGCTTGGAGCGGTGTGAGCTTGTTACTGCCGGTAAGTCATTGCCAAGGCTCTTCACAGATGCTGGCTGCGGGAAACTGATATATTCCGGACGACCCACACAGCTGCTTTTAAACCCCTTAGATCAAGCTGCCGCCCTAGCCAAAGGACTAGAAAATATCTCATCTCTCATAGTGCGAAGCTCCATGTGGGAGGATCTCTATGTTCGGCGTTACGAGATTCTTAACAATGAAACTTTATCGGAGCCGCATGCTGCTTACAGAGTCGTCTTGGAAAGGATGTACAGAGAGATTCTCAAGTTTCAGATCGTTTGCTATCGCTACCACAGTCACAAAACTGCCTCTCGCATGACACTCGATTCGGTGAAGCATCACGATTGGGAGGAGCTGCTCAAACAGATCAAATATCAGGAGACCGAATTCGATAAAGTAAGCAATCACATGCGGGACCAGACTTATAGGGACGAATGGGAAAACGCGGAGGCGCGCCATCAACAAGCCATGATTCACTGGCAGAACATCGGAACGGATGTTTCTGATCTAAGAAGACGAGTCGAGGAAATACAGAATGACAAGAAGCGCAAAGAATTGCTCGACTGGCTTTGTACCGTCGACACTTCTGTGCAGTACAATACTGCGCGTAGCAAACACCGCAGTGGCACCTGCGATTGGCTGGTCAAGGATAGCGAAGATTTCAAGACGTGGGAAAAAGCCCCACAGTCTTCCTTGTGGCTCCACGGCAAAGGTATGGCATGCATAGTTAGGCAATCCGATGGGTGTACACGCTGACGACTCGCAGCTGGCTCTGGAAAGTCGATACTGAGCTCATCGGTCATCAAGTACTTGAAAGACCAGCACGAACAGGACCCCGAAGTTGCGCTTGCGTATTAATTTTTCAGTTTCGGTAACTTCGAGCAACAAAAGGTGACCGTTATGCTCTCATCAATTGTAAGACAACTGTGTGCGAGTCGCCCAGACACGCCTCAGCCGATCAAACGGTTCGAGAACCATATTGCCAGGGGCGAGCGTCCAGACTTAGACGCACTTAAAGATGCACTAATGGCTACCATTCGCGGGTTTTCGGCGGTATTCATCGTTATAGATGCCCTCGATGAGTGCCCGACTCTGGATGGGGAGCGATCTAGGCTCTTGGACTGCCTCAGTAGCATCATCACCGCAATGCCGGATAATCTCCATATTTTTTGCACAAGTAGGGCCGAGCCAGATATCTGTACCAAGATTGACGAGTAGTTGCCTCTTCCGAGTAAAAATGCCATTAATCTTACGGAACATTCCGTGGGCTTGAATAACGACTTGAGTCTGTATATCGACGTAGTCTTAGCTACCGGAACGTACGCCTTGTGGCCCGCCGAGACAAAGACTACAGCGAAGGACATACTGATCTCGAGGGCAGATGGGATGCAAGTCAATAGAGTGGATTAAACAAGGAAACATTACCATAGCTAACATCATGTTTAGGTTCCAATACCTCGTTTGCCAGTTCGAAGTACTTCAACACTTGAATTCAGAAGATTCCATACTTTCAGCTCTCGATAATCTCCCACTTGGACTTGACGACACATACAACAGGCTGTTCCTAAGCTTGGACACCGCCTTTCAATCCCAGGTTATTGACTCAATGAAATGGCTAGCTACGTCGAGGCAGCCGTTGAGTCTCGAGGAGTTTGCGGAGGTATTCATTCTTCGTCCTGAGGCTACGACAACAAGAACAAGCAATATCACCACTACAGTCGGTGATCGTTGCTACCCACGATACTCGAGTCTTTTCCTTTTCCACCTGTGAATCCAACACTAGACAAACGCGTGAATATCCATGGCCTCGTCTACCTCCTCGACAACTGCCCCGATATCGACGTCAACATGACAGGCGGCTTTTTTGGCACGGCTTTGCAGGCAGCAACGTACGAAGGCAAGACAGAAGCCGTCGAGCTGCTGCTTAAGAAGGGCGCGAACACCAATATTCGGGCCGGAAAATACAGAAACGCACTCAATGCGGCTATATGCGAAGGATGTTGGGACCTCGTCGAGATACTGCTGGGCGCCGGGGCCAAGCCGGATTGCCATCAGTTTCCCGAAGCTGACGAGGGGTGGCTTGAATCAATTGGCAAGGAAGATGGCCAGGGCGCCGTGGATCGTTATAGGAGATTTTGGGATACAAAGAAGCTCGAATTGGGAGAAGGAAACGTGGTGGGAGGGCAGAATGACTAGAATATCTCGTTTCGAATGGAATTATGTAGGGGCACACACACTCAATGGAATGAACGTCTCGGCTACTACAGTCTAGCTTGATGTTGAGTCAAGTGAAAGGAAGCATTCAACCAACGGATTTAGATGCTGCTGAAAGCGAAAGTAGAACATCACGACTATGAAAAACTGGATCAACCACGTTTTCAAATGGTTCACGGGCATGACAACATGCATATAATCCCGTTATTTCTGATCTTTTACATTACGCAATTGGTCGAAGGCGTCAAAACCACGGACAGAGTAATCACATCCTTGGTTGAAGGTAGATAGCATACTGCAGTGAATCGGCGTGGTTCACAGCTTCAAGTCCTTTAGACCGTTATCCGAAGAAATTGAAATCAAATCCAAGTCATTGTGAGCATTTAGGGGCGGGTCAGTTGCTCGCGCTGAAAAGTGGGCAAAGCAAGCAAAGCAAGCAAAGCAGCGGGAACTTCATGGCTCAACATGAAATACGGGCAGAAGATCAAGTAGAAAAAGTCGCGCACCTATAAAACGGGAGCGCCGAGGTTGTGAATCTGTGTATTCCCTAGTCGGCACGGGATGTAGCCCGAACCCCGTAGGAGCGGGGCATCGCTCCGGGTCCAGAGTTCGGGCGGTTGTTGTTGGAGCGGAAGCCTCGACGGAACCCACTACCGCATTGGGAAACCGTTTGCGCCTGGTTAACACTCGATGTTCGAATCTCGATCGCATGGCTCCAGGTCAATTCAAACCACCACACAATATCAGCTCTTACAAGTCGGCAGACAACATCGGCAGTGATTCAACCACCCACCAAGACTATCACGCTCATACGGAATTTGTAGGAGACAGCTATCCCGAAGTCAACCCCGCCCTACTTGAGAACTGAATCGTCTTGTTCAAGTCAAAAGATTCAATGGAGGAGGTGGGCAATATCCGCGGCACCTCGGCCTAGGGTTTCTTCCTACAGAAAGACCAGGGAATCAAGCATCCTGGCTTATTATGTAAAGCCTTGAGTTAACATATAGATAAAAGCCTCTATCGTCATGGAGTCGACGATAATTACATTCAGAGTGGCAGCTCATTGCTTAACTTTTGTCAAGCATCTCTGTTTCCACAGCTTACATCTAATCAGGCGAATATGGCGTCCCGTTCAAGTCAGCAACTGACTCTCGATGTGTCAAGATACGAAAAGCTCGATGATCAGCAGCACAACCTCGTCTCTCAAATCGATGGCGACTGGCACGGAATGGGATCCCAGCAAGACGCACACCAAGAGTTCCTCGACGCCTACCGGTACCAACTGGCCCAGATGTGCTACGGCGCGGCCGTGGCCCACTACCACCGTCTTCCCGCCGCCAGGAGCCTCTTCAAGCCTCTCATTCGACGCATCATCCACAAAATGCTCCGACCAGAAGTTTGGGGCTATTGGTATCTCACCAGCCAGTCTGGAAAATTCGTCGACCCGGATATCAAAGAGCTGAGAAAGCCATGGGCCGATCCCGTTGCGACTGAGAAAATCATGTACAGCGGGCACCTTCTTCTAATGACTATTCTTTATGCGATGCTTTTCGACGACGACGAGTTTGAAAAGCCGGGATGGATCACGTTCACGTGGGCCCCGATCTTCTGGGGCTTTGGACCAGAGGTTTACCATTACGACAACCGTAGTCTGGAGGCTGTCATTCTTGGTGAAATGGAACGTAACAACTGGGTTGGGGTGTGCTGCGAGCCGAACAGAGTCTTTGTTGTCTGCAACCAATTTCCAGTGAGTACCTGTATCCAATCCATGCGCTGAACAACTCGAAACGCTGTGTAACTGACGGTTCAAGCTTATTGCAATGCGTTACAATGACGTACGTGATGGTCGTGATACCATGACTCAAATCTTGGAAAAATACAAGGCTGCAATCGTCGAGAAAGGCTTGGTGCGCTCCGATGGTCTGTACGCCGAGTGGTTATACTTGAAGCCGGATCATGTGGATATGCCAAAAGGGGTGACTTCTGCTGCATGGTAAGTTCTCATTGGAAACGAGCACTTGCGGCGACATACTAATATCAAACGCAAAGGGCAAACGCCTTCATGAATGCCTGGAACTCTGACTTTGTCTACGCCTCATACAAGAAACAGGCTTTGGGCTTCATCGCAGAGACCGAGAACGGGGTCCGGCTGCAAAACCCAGCGGTTGCCATGATTTACCGCAAGCTACTGAAGGAGGAACAGGCTCCAGTCGACGGGGCGGCAGTACTCGAGAAGGCTAGGGCTGAGGCTGCGAAACTGCCACCCAGACCGTTTCCGTTCACTGCGCCATACCTTGGGTACGTCGTTCAATGGCTTTCCGAACTTGGAAAAGAGAAGGAACTTCGAGACCTTCTAGACTATGCCGACTCTAGTCCTCAACCAACTTTTACTTGGGAGAAAGGCGGCCTATGTTATGCTCGAAACAACAATCGGGCCAACGAAAATGGCGAGTGTTTTCACATGGACCCCTTTACGGGAAATGCAGCGCTGGGATATGCGCGGCTCAACGTCAAAGACGGACAGAAGATCATGTGGGAGAAGCCATGGACTCGTGAGACGTTGGCCTCGAAACCTTGGGTTGATGGCATTTCTCTGGAACAGAATGTGGACTGTCTGCGCGCATTATTATGGGATGATGAAGAAAAGGCACTAGTCCTGACTATGGAGACATGGGATGGCCAGACACAAACTGTGAAGCCAACTATTCGCAACTTGAGAGCAGGTGTGTGGGCCGTGTACGAAAATGGAGAGCTTGTCGGTCACAAGGAGGTGGAAGAAGGTGGTTCGATGGAAGTCGAGTCTTCCACATCTGGCGAGCATTTGGACATAGTGTTCATACAAGTTCGATCCTTGGGAGCAAGGATATAGCGGAACTTGGATCTTGAGTGCAGAGTGGATTAGAGATTCAGGTTTTCTGGGCATTGAAAAGACTGAGAGGAAGCAAACAAATAACTCATTAATGTATGTGTTAATACTTTTCGCTTGAGATTCAAGGTTATAAGGGAAGTTTTCTTCGACTAGCTCGAAGATAGACTGCAAAGACCTTGTTCTAGTCAATTCAATATATCTGTTGGGCAGCGATTATCAGGTAGGGGGTCAATGGGATGTATTGATGAGTATGAAGAACGAGTGGCTATGGGAATATCCCGACTATCTATATAGTGAGGGGAAGACTCTTTATACTGGCATATCCTTGGCAAACTTAGTCATGCTTGTGTAAGACCATATTGTCTCATAGGCATAGTGTGACAATCGTTGTAACGAGTGTACTGGGATGGGCCTGACAATATCGTTGCATTCGATAACTTGCCATATCGAATTCTGCCGCCCCATACCGCTTCCACTCAAGAGAGCGTCCAAGGTTTGCCTTCCACCTGAAAGTGTTGAATATTTCCACACCTCGGTAACACAACACCAACAAAACAACCTAAATTTCCCAGAACATGATCACACTGCCAAGATCATACAGCAACATCGATGAGTATGCGGGGGACTTGATAGAATTCAGCGAAACGCCCTTGGTCCGCCAGATCACCGGTGATATCCACGTCAACGATTCACTCATCTACAATGCATGGGAAGCCCTACCCACCGACTGGACATCCTGGTGGGCGTCAATATCAGACCATCGAATAGCTCAACAAGACTTGATCGACAGCATTGAAGAGCTGGACCCCTCATCGCCACCAAATGACGAAGCAGATGAAGACAAACGACATTTACCCTTACCAGACCGGCCAGAGTCGTTGTCTAAGTGGCTCAAGAATGTCCAGTCTCTCGCACTTCCACGAGACCAACGTCCTGGCACTGCCACCAACCTACCAGAGATCCTATCAAGTCGCATGAAACCCAAGAAGATTGCAGAAGTCTCCACCGCTGTCAAATACATCCACAGCGTCTGCCAGACCAACAGCATAACCCACATCATCGACACGGGCTCCGGCCAAGGATATCTCTCCGTAGCGCTAGCATACCTCTTCCCAGAGCTCCACGTGTTAGCAATCGACGGCAGCGAATCCCAGATTGCGGCCTCAAAAGCCTGCGCAGATAGTCTGGGAATCCCCCAGAGCAGGATCCAGCACATGCGGCGCTACATTGACGGCACACCGCCGCTTGCCGATGAGATTGCCGTCTGGGCCGCAGACGAGAAGTGCATGCTCGTTGGCTTGCACGCGTGCGGGAACCTCTCGGAGCATATGTTGAGATACTTCGCCACTGTGCCGTTCATCGTATGTCTTGGCGCCGTTGGATGCTGCTACAACCACATCGTCCCGCGTTCTGCTGCTTGTCCTGATGGATTCCCCATCAGTGCAAAGATGCGCGCAAAAGACGTCACGCTGAGTGCCATGGCGCTCATGACGGGCTGCCAGGCGCCGAACAACTGGGAAAGGGCAGATCCGAGTAAAAAAGAGTCGGTGTACTCGAAACGGCGCTTCTATCGAGCCCTCCTAGAGAAGATCTTCCACGATAAAGGGATAGAGCTCGACAAAGAGGACAGGCCTGTGTGGGGTGTGCGGAAAGGTGACATGGCCAGTTTTACCACGTTCGCACGCAGAGCGATGGCTTGTCTCGGCGTGGAAGAGAGCAAGATCAGCGATGCCGACCTTGTTGCTTATGAGGAGAGGTATCGAGGTCAAGAGGGCAAAGTAGCGATTTTGTGGACGCTCAGTGTGCTGTGCTGCAAGGTGGTTGAAAGCGTGATTGCCCTGGATCGGTACTTGTTCCTGGCGGAGAACGGAGGGCAGAATGTTGACGTTGTGCCGATATTTGATTACAAGATATCACCACGGAACCTGATGTTTGTGGCTGACAAGGGATAGATTGATACATCAAATTGAGTAGACGATTCACCGGCAGGTAACCGTTTTACTTACGCCGAGTGCATGCGGATAATAACTAATGCGTGGTCTTCGAGGATTCGGTCTCATGAATACAATATATTAAAGCCAACTATCTACACAGAATCCAATACACAAACCCGAGATGCAATCTCGAAAGACTCCACTTCCTCCAATCATCCCTTAGAAGAGAGCAAGGGCAACAAGACCACACACAGCCGCAACAGCGACACCGAAAGATGCACGTCCAGCAGACGCAACCTGAACCACAGAAGGCAAAGGCTTCGCAGTAGCAGTAGGTACAGCACCCGTAGCAGAAGCAGAGCAAGCAGTGGGGGTAACAAGCGAACCATCAGGTCCGAACGGGCTGTAGCCGAGGCAGCCAGCGTACTCAGCAGCGCAGCTCGCGCGGTTGGCATCAGGAGCGCTGCGGCACTTGTTGTACGAGTCGTTGCAGCCCGCAACGCAAGCGGCGCCAGTAGGGGTCGCGGGGGGAACGACGCCAGTCGCGATGGGGGGGACAGCGGTGGCGGTGGGAGCGACGGCGGTAGCGGTGCCGGAGCAAGCGGTGGGGGTGGCGAGGGAGTCGTCGGCGCCGAAGGGGCTGTAGCCGAGGCAGCCGGCGTACTCGGCAGCGCAAGAGGCGCGGTTGGCGTCGGGAGCGCTGCGGCACTTGTTGTAGTCGTCCGCGCAGGCGGCGGCGCACTCAGGGCCGGAGGGCGCGGTAGGCGGGGCGGTGCCGGTCACGATGGTAGGGACGGCGGTTCCAGTGGGGACCGCGGCGGTGCCGGAGCAAGCGGTGGGGGTAACGAGGGAGCCATCGGGGCCGTAGGGGCTGTAGCCGAGGCAGCCGGCGTACTCGGCAGCGCAAGAGGCGCGGTTGGCGTCGGGAGCGCTGCGGCACTTGTCGTAGGCGGCGGCGCAGGTGGCCGGGCAGTCGGGGCTCGGGGCGACGCCGGTAGGGGCGGGGCCGGTGTGGGTGATGGTGCAGGGGCAGTCGGTGATGGTGAAGGTCATGGGCTCCTTGATGGTGTAGGTGTGCTCGCCGTGGTAGATGACGGTGGGCTCGGGGCAGTAGGTGGTGAGCGCGGTGACGACCTGGGTGTAGGTGCCGTTGCTGAGGAGGGCGGCGACGGGCATGGGCGCGTCGGCGACGGGGGAGGCGGATGTGAGCTGGACGGCGCCGAGGATGAGGCCGGCTAGGAGAGGAGCCACGTGAGAAGACATGTTGTTGAGTTTAGTGGTGAAGACCGTGTGTAAAAGAGTGTGGTAGACTGATGTCAGAGTTGTAAATGAGTGTGAGGGTTGAGTTGTGAAGGACGTTTGAGTCTGCAAGGGAACTTTGGTAAACATTTATAGGACCTCGAGTTTGAAGCCAAGACGGTTGATTAAACGTAAACATTTCAGCTAGCGTTGATGGCCAAGGGGCAGTTTGCTGGTAAAACTCGGATCGCATCCGGTCTGGATGACAGTTACATTCCAGCATTGTTGTGTTTGACGTGCCTCGTTCTACTGCAAGAATTCAGTTAGTCGCGTCTCGTATTCTTCCTCGAGAACTTGGCTCCTAGTCTCTTGTATTTTTGCTAGCGCTTCAACCGTCAGGCTCGCCGAACGACTAACGCTGCTATGCTTTCTTTTACCTACGTCCACCTATTTAATCTTAAAACGCCAAAGTCTTAGGTTTTTCCTGGGGAAGAGGCAAGAAAAGGGGCGAGCCTCGGCGCCACGGTCGTGGAGTGTACGCCATCTCGGCTACGGCCATCAAATCAACAACGTCAATCGTGCGTCAATCGGACTTTGGTCTCACCCCAGAATTCATCTCGGGCTGGAATGTTCTATCCATACTAACGAGTTACTGTCATGTTCCTGAACACTTTCTATTTGGCATGCCCCCGCTTGAATGTCACAGATCGTGGAAGGGAGTCAAGGGAGGGCGCCTGATACGAGGTTTTCCCTGTCGTCTCTTTACTTGATGGTAGCGGGCCGAATGGTTCGGAATGGACTCCGACAGAGAATTGTTTTTCAAGAAAAGTCAATGCTCCTCTATTGGCAAAAGCAGTTGGATGATCAGGGGAGTTACCGCAGAAAGAACAGGACGGGATGTGCTACCACAATCATCAACCGAATCATACTTTACCTAATGACAATCGTCGTTGGAACTTGAATGGAATTGAGTATTTCTCTTAAAATACGAGCACATGAACGACAAGTACGGACGCGGACAGGATGATACCCATACCACCATAACAATGGGGCACGCGATATCGACAACACTTGTAGTGAATTGTCATTTCATTCAATTTAGTTTGGTCTAATCATGGATAGCTGAGCGACTTGCCCAGCTTCAATCACACTGCTGACCCAGGATGCGGAGAAATCTAGGTAGGCAGACATCGTCTATAACCCTGAAACCATCTCGTCAAGTTCTCATAAACTTCTGAGAGTGATATTAATGTGTGACAATGGTCCATCCTATGTACACCATCATGCTCTCCACTGTGTGCCCTCAACTCACTCCTCAATCCTCCTGGTTGAGGCACCACTGCGGTCCTTCAAGCCAGCACGACGTCCAGATCGCTCAGCAGGTGTTTACGAAGGCAGAACTCGCGGAGAAGTCGCCTCAAGAAACCAAGCTTCAGTCAGGCCAGCAAGCCGGCGGCGACCAGCTCACTCACTTCCTCTCCCTCACGAGCACCTTCATCTTCATATCGTGCCTCGGCCTAGCCTCCATACCAACCATCTGAAAAGCCAAATCGCCCACCTTGTGATCGATATCCATATAATCAACCCTCTGCGTAGTCCCTTTCACAATCGTCTCGAAATCGAACCACCGCACCGTAAGCAACAACATGATGCGCAGCTCATCCATGGCCAAATCCTGCGCAATGCAAGCCCTAGACCCGCGCTCAAATGGCCGCCACGCGAAGCGGTGCATGTCCTTGGCATCCTCGCCCAGGAACCGATCGGGCCGGAAGCTCTTGCTGTCCTCGCCCCAGACCTTGGGGTCCATGTGCGTCGAGTGCGCGCAGGGGATGACCATGAGGTTCTTGACGGGCCAACGGCGGCCGTTCCACTCGAGGTGGGTTGTTCCGGGCGGGGCTTGGCGGATGGTGAAGCCGATGGGGAAGAAGCGGAGCGTCTCTTTGATGACGGCGTTGGTGAAGTCCATGTCGTTTGTCTTTTGCGGGTTCGCGGTGAGCATCTCGACGGTGGTGTCGAGGTCCGGGGAGAAGTGCTCGTCGTGCTCGGCGCGGAGGCGGGCGACGATGTCGGGGTAGAGGGAGAGGAACATTGTGACCCAAGTGAAGGTGTCGGTGGTGGTGCCGTGGCCTCCGAGAAGGAGAGCCTTGAGGCTGGGTTGGTTGTTAGCGAGACACAGTTGCGAAGCGTGGGATAGACTTACTTGGTGACAGCGGTGTCGATGAACTCGTCGTCGAGACCTATGCCCGGTCCGCTCTGGATTCTGTCAAGGACGATGCGGTCCAGGACACTCTTGACCTGTCGCCGGGAAGGCAATTCCTTCTCGTCCTGCAGGATGCGCAATCTCTCCTTCATCTCCCCAGCCAGGGTATCTCTAACGCGATCCTTGAGCGCCTGCAACTTCTGCTGCGCCTTGCGCTTCTTCCACGGGTTGCGGGTGCCGATGAAGGTGGTGGCGGGGTTAATCGAGTTGCGCAAATCCTCGAGCAACGGCGATCCAGACCTCTGCGCCTCAAGTGAGACACCAAATACAATCTTACCGACGACATCAAAAATCGTCTTGGCCGACTCCTCCTCCATGTTGAACGACTCGCCCTTGGCGGCGAAAGCGCGCAGGCGCTCGTGGAAGATGAGGACCTGCTCGGCAATCATGCCGGCCATGGGCTTGACATAGGTGGGCGTGAAGCCAGAGCCGACCATGCGGTGGTTGTACTTCCAGCGGTCGCCGTTGGAGGCGGCGATGCTGTCCTTGCCGGTGAAGGGGCGGAGGAACTGCTCGATGGTGGGGTGCTTGGGGTACGGATTCGTGGTGAGGACGAGCTGGGCGGCGTCCGGGTCGGTGATGATGACCTGGGACTCGACAAAGGGCCACATGTCGACGTAGAAAATTCCGCCGAGGTTGTACTTTTGCGCCATGATGGTGTAGATGTGCTGAGGGTGGGTGAAGAGCGGGAGGGTGGCTGCCAGCTCTTCCCAGATGATGGTGTGTGCCCAGATCCACGAGTGTTTTGGCGGTTGAGGCTAAATTTCGAGGAAACATCAAAAAGAGTCAGCGTTGTGATGCTTGTGCGATGTGTGCTTTGCGCACGTCTTCATAGCCGCGGGCGCGAGCCATCGAGGAGTGAGGTTAAGTTGGAATGAAGCTCTTACCAATCCTCTGAATCTGGTTCTCATGTACACGGCCTTGAAAGCCCAGTACACGGCCGTGGCGAGAGCCACGCTGGCCGCGATCAACCAGTTGGAAACGCCAAACATCGTGAGCCTCAAAGCTTGGGGGGTATCGCCAAGCTATTTGCCGGGAAGATGACGAAAGGGAGGGAAAGAAACAAAAGGCGGAAGAGTCTTGCTGCCCACACTCAGGACAAGAAGAGAGAAAAAAGCTACATGGCGAAAGAAGATGGCGGGGTATTAGGGTCAAATTTCATCTACGACCTACCAATCCTGGGCTCTACGTAATGTCAGATTCGGGGCAAAATAACCAGAGCAAAAACGCCTCTCTCGCTTTCACTTTTTTTTCTTTTCTTCAGCAAGGGGGGGTCTGTAAGTTTGGTCCTTTCGATGTGATCGTCCTCCCGCCAGTACGTCTTACTGGGGGGGGGGTGCAATGCGTGAGAAGGTCGCATCCTTTTGCTGAACGGTGGGGTCGAGAGGATCAGATTAGATGATCTGATAAGATGATTGAAAGAGATCAGTATTCCCGGATTGGATGAACTCAGAATGGTCGACATAGGTGGGAAGGGGAGGGCGTGAGATGAGTAAAAGGCCACGCAGGAACTTGAGGAAGTTCCCGGAATTGGTTCCATGTCGTGATGAACGAGGGGGCGTGGATGGTGGTCAGAAACGCCGGCGGCCCCATTTTCAATGGCTTCAGTTTCTTTAGCGCGAGTTTGCAGGCTTTTTTTCCAGAGGGCTCGACCAGTCAACGTGCGGAGGATTCAGTTTTGTTATGTCAACGGTCCGGTCCGCTCATCGGCACTCGAGAATTGGTGACGCCGCGGCGTTGCTTCGCCTCTTGGCCCAGCCACCGGGAACTGCTGGTTGAGGGCCATGAAAAGACTCAAGTGCCCCGGAAGAAGTTTCTTCGTTTCCCTTGGTCGTTGCTGGACTTTTGCATCTCCGTGGCTATTTGGTATTGCTGGATGGTACGTTGTATCCATTATGTTTTTGCGTGCAGAGAGCTAGGCGGAATGTGGGTGGGAGTCCGCCGATGCGTGGCCGGTGACCGAGAAAGTTTCAAGGATTCAGAAAAGGTTTGCGAATGTGATCCGGCGCGTCAGGCTATCATCTACCGCAATGAAGGATACAAAGTTGGGTAAGCTCTTTGATTACCTCACACAGGGAGCTTGCCATACATGATCACACTCTCAAGAGCGCCAAATCTGCAAAATGCCTGAGCATGAGATTAGATGCCAGATTCAATGACGGGGGAATCTGAGAACCTCATTCTCGGAGACAATCCACCACACAATCCACATCCCGCCGGTGGGAGAGGTCCACAGGGCCTTGGCTGGGCTGCCGAATTGCGTCTTCTTCATCAAGACGGGGAGACAGCGGGGAGTCTCGGTCAACACGAGCTTCAAAGCCCGCAATGGATGTTGTAGCTGTACGAAGCACAGCTTAATTACTACGCATAGCAGTGCGAAGTTTTCCTATGCCGCAGTCCAACAGCGGCATCTTGTGTTACGGTTCTGGCTGCTTGCAGCATGAACTTCAGGCGGTCCACAGAGGAGCAAAAGCGAACCCTCGGCCGCCGGCGTGTGAGGAGGGAGGGGCAGAGGTGGGGGTGAAAAAGAAGAGAAAAAATACCACTCCGGACGAACCCCTGCTTCTTCAGCAGATGCTAAGCTTTCTTGGACAGCGGCACAGCTACGATCTTGGCAGCACCAACAGAGTTGAGCATCTCCAATGTTGGAACAGACCGGCGCATAAAGATAGGTTAGTACTCAAAGTACCTTCAACCAACGACTCAACGTCAGCTTGTCTGCTGTGATACCCAACGTACATCGAGTACTTAGGTAATCTCAACGCACGCCGCGTGAAATAAAACTGTGCCGATTCCATCCATCACCCGTCAGCAGGGTAGGAAGAATGCCACCCAACCGACAGCCTGTCAAAAGAGTATCACAACCTATTATGAAAGAGGCAAAGGTTCCGAAACCGAGAATCGAACTCGGGGCTATGCCTAACCTCTCACAGAGATGAGAGGGCATCATGTTGGCCACTACACCATATCGGATGTTCATGTCTGTTGCCGCAAAATTGGTGCTTCAGTATCCTGTGTTGTGAGAGTAGAGCAGTGATGCTGGGCTGGCCCTAGGTCTCCAGGATAGTGCCAGTGAGGGCGTGTCACGGCGGTTAGCCGCGCCGTTTTCGTCTACATCGGTCGCACTGGACATTGAAAGTTCAATAAGAATGTCAAGCTGAGTAGGACGTAGAGAAAGACGAGAGCAGATGGCGCATCCTAGAGTGTAGACTTTGGTCCAAATGAGATGCACCACTTCCAAAACGGAACCCTCCAAGTCGTTTCACGGACAAAGAAATCGGCGTAACTGCGGACGGAATCGGCTCCGGAATGTTTGGCCAGACGGCAACCTAAGCGCGCGAAGTACCGTTACACATCCTCGCTGATCCGATGTGATAGTGCCAAGGTAGCATTCGATGCAGCCAAGAGACGCATGCCTTTCTTTGTCTGGTCCCGCATCGCGTCTGTTCAGGTTGGGCGCGTGGCAAGTAGTCCGTCTTCTCGGTCATCGGCCGCAGACTCAGTTCGCCGACCATGCGCTTTAGTCAAAAAGCAACAAATACAGCCCAGGATCAAAAGGAGTATGACAAGAACGAGATTCGAACTCGCGCGTGTTTCCACACCAGCAGAGCCAAGTTGAACCTGAAGCTGGCGCCTTAGACCGCTCGGCCATCTTGCCATGATGAGGATTGCGGAAGCGGATTGGGACCCGCTGCGGAGTGAGGCCCGGCTGGAGGGTCTCAAGACATCGCGACGGAGTGGACTCAGCAGCCCACGAGGCAATAAGCGACCGGAACGTAAGAAAAGAATGCGAAACTTGCTGCGTTGCTAATAGGTATCTCGGTGGAAATCAAAACCAGTTACAATAGTGGTATCATCGAATCCTCTGCTGCTGCGTCAACGCCCATCCCTGTACGTTCATCCCGTGTGCCTCCCACCAGGCTTAACCTTTCGTCTCTTCCACGTCGAACTCATGCGCAACTTCTCCGCCGAGAATTTTTGTATTGGCCAAGTTCTTTAGGCAGTCTTCTTGCCGGTGGCGACCTGTCGACCTTGGGAGGTGTACCGAACGTATGCGTAGCCGCCGGCTGCGATGACACCGATGATGACGAAGTTGCCTGTTGAGAAGGGGAATTAGCCACATGACAACTAACAGCTATGTGGGTGGCGTGGGACTTACTCAAGACGAACTTGCCGAGTCCGCCAACAACGTCGATTGCGCCCTGGAATACATCGGTAATGAGGTTGACAAGCCCGGTGAAGAAGCCGATAATGGTGTTGAAGATGGTCTGCAGGACGTGGTAGAAGGCGTTGAAAATGGAGGAGAGCAGCTCGTAGACGCTGCTGAAGAGATCCTGGATCGCGTTGGAGACGGCCATGTTGACGTTGTGTGTTATAGCTTTGGTCTTTGGTGTCGTTGGGCAGTATGTGAATAAACTTGGGAGCTCTGGACGTGTCGGGCAAAGGTGAATAAATGGAAGCTTCAGATTTAGCTCCAACAGCTTGAGAGGTCCATGGAGATCTGGCCGCACCGTTGACTTTAAGCAAAGAACCCACGCGGACGAAAAACAACGTCCTTGTGACGCGATGGGCGCTGCCGCCTGAGACTTGCCTAACCCCAACCGAACCAAAGCGGCGGGTTGGGGGAGGCAGGAGCCGACGCCAGTGACCGCCGTGTGTGGTGAGAATTGTCGCGGGTGACGTCGGCATCGTGACGTCACCAGCCACACAGGCAATCACACAACCTCGTTCCAGCCACTCCTGCTGCATTTCGAAGAAGGCGCCAGATTACAGGGTAAGGAACCTTCCAATCATACCACTGATAATTGCGGCAGGAGCAGGTACGTACACTCAACCCACCACAGGAAGGAGGACAGAGCGGAGTGGTTTGTCCGGGCGGGAAGGAAGGGATATTGTCTCTCGCTTGTGGCTGCCGTCATCACGCATTCAAGCCACGTTTGCCCCCGTGCCCCTGTCTACTTCTCAGCCCTTTCCGTTAGGAAAGGGAGGAGGTATTTGTCCGGCCAGGAGCCCTGGGCACCTCCCGTCAACCACCTCACAAAAGTCTCTCTCACGTCTTACCTTATGCATTGTCTCTGGCTGTAAATGATTCGATGTGGTGGTACCTTACATCCAACCCCTGGTCAGATGTAACACTTTCAACTCCTGCCCACCATTCTCTGCCTGGGGTGCTGGGATATCAAGTCTACTTGGAAGTTGTTCCTTGACGCCTAATATGAATGCTCGTTTTCATAAATCCACGGGCTCTCTATGCTATCTCCAGGCCTCCTCGGACGTTCTGTCGCTCTCTAGGAGACCCCGGTGCGCCTCCATTCGCCGCTAGAGTGGTCGAGATACTCAACTTTGCCTTTGACCCAAAGAACAGCGTCTCAGTCGAAGAAGCTGCCGTTGCACTAGAATCACTCTTCGCATCAGACTACGAGGAACATGGCACAGCAGGGTCTTTCCTCTGGTGGTTCTGGGACCTCATGCACGTCCTAGCCCGCCAGATCCCCTACGACCAGCGAGAACAAGATCAGCTGGCGGCAGTTATCAAGGTGCTTACCTGCATCCCACCCAAAACGGTGGTTCTAGGCGAAGAATGGGGAGACGCGAGTGAGAGCTCGGTCGATGTGTGGCAGAATCTCCCCATGTTTGCGAATACCTTGAACGAGACGCTCAGTGACGGTAAGATCATACCCTCCGCTTTCGGTCTTGCAAATACCTTTGAGAATCCCTGCTCTGATAGATTACTTGCTGATGTGAGAACTTTAGGCGACCTAAGAGCTCCTGGTGACGACACAAGAAAAGACCGTCAGGTGAACCTACAAGCATACGCAGCCCGAATCGCGGGCCTAGGCCTCGTCCCGCTAGAGACAAACGCCACCTGGGCGCTCGTAGATGCGCTCGAAGGCAGTGTCAAGCCAGTACATGGTGCTCCGGACGAGGTCAACTCAGACCCAGCCGCAGTCGAGGATATCACACACAAGACACGTACTGCCGCAGCCTGGATGATCCACGCCGGTCGTCTCTTACATGGGCGCGATGAGGTGGTAAGTGGGACAACAGCAGGACCTTTGTGGAAGCTTGACAAGAAAGAAGCTGTCAAGTTGAGACGAAAGGTCAAGGGAACTGATGGGCTGTGTCCTGAACGGTGGCAGCTGTGGAAGGAGAGGCTCGGGGTTATTCGGGATGCTGTCGGGTTGGATGAGAAGGCGCGTAAGGACGCTGGTGATGCTTACCTGGAAATGGAAAAGATCGAGAAAGGACAGTAGATCTAAGTTGAAATCTTTCACATGACCGAGCTGAGGTCAACGCCTTCCCATGTGGTTTCTCCCAAATCTTCCACCATTTACACGAGTACACTTCCCCATACCGGCTTTCACTATTACTTGCCACCTTGTTAGGGAGATTGTTGGTATTCCTTTCACAGGGAATTTGGTTCGAACCGTCGGGTCCTGGGGGTGACGAAGTATCAATATCTCTGTATTGATTGATTCTGCGTAAGGAGTAGAAGGGAGATTCCAACCGGAGGTTGGGTGGGTAGTCGAGGTCTAAGTGTACCCCCTCGAGGTGGCCCATGCTCTGCCCCTACTCGCGGCCGAATTGGACTTCCAATCCGACAGAGATGTTTGTTGGCTTGCCGTCTTGTTATATGGCCTTCTTGATGTCATCGTCAGAATCGATTGATGGCTCGTAAAAGTCAGAAAGGCTTAGCTCTTACACACCGAGATATAACCTGTCAGATAAGCCAGCCTTCTCTCCTTGACCCTCCAACGTCCTGAACCCCAGGGCTTTCCCGATCCCGACTTAGCTCTATTTACAGCTTACGGCCAAGACATCATGCATCCTTTCTGTGATCCCATCTTTCTTGAAAACGAGTTCATGCAATCAAACATTGTCTTGGGTCCTTCTGGTTTCGTTTTGGTGGAGGATTGGAGGATGAGAAATGGGAGTAGCGGTGTCCAAAGGACCCGACGACGGCGAGCTGGCTATCCATTACGCGTGGTAACTTCCATTGCCTTGATGTGGATGTAAAATTCAATGGCCAAGTCATATCTGAAGCACCCAGCTGGTATCAGCGGCCCCGCAAGTGCAATCAAGTCAATTTTGACCCCCATACTTGCTGTTGATGAGATTTTTCTTGGTGTTTTTGATTAGTTGGCTAACTTGCAAGTTATTCAATCAATCGCCATATAAAAACACGTGATCTACAATTACCTAAGCGGGAGATATATGAAGCTATTCACGATAGGCCCAGTAGTCCAAAGCCGTTGTTCTGCAGCATAACCCCCCTCTTGAGCCAGTTTTTCGACAGCTGGAGAATTTCTATAGTCTCTGGCTTCATACTCATCCGTTGCGACGTGAGGGTTAACTTAGCAGTACTGAAAGCCCTCTCGCAGTCGGCCGCCATCGCTGGGACGGCGAGGATGTCGATCGCGAGCCGAGAGAGGGTCGGGAAGGTATCCGAATGGTCCAGCCACCACCGTAAGGGCTCGGAGGTCTCCTCCGGAGGTTGACGGAGGTAGAGATCGAGCTCATCCATCCGGGGTGGGGTCTGCCGGCGCCGGCTATTAACCCACTGCCGGAAGTGACTGTCGTCATCATCTCGAGCCCCGGGGTCAACGGCAAGGCCTCCGCGCTGCCCTCTGTGGCCGGAGATACTCTCTTCCGGGCCGTTCTGCCGATACCACTTATCATAGTACTCTGTGAGGGATTTCTGAGCCTTGTCGACCCATCCCTCTTGATGATGATGATGATGATGTATTTAACGTCTGGTAACAAAAGGACGTGCCGGGCGCTATGCCGACATGGTCTATACTAATCTAAACTATATTACAGGCTACCGTCTTCACCTAACGTTCCTGTTATTTCTGAGCCTTGTCGACCCATCCCTCTTGGTGGTCATCACTCCATACATCTCGTGTGGCAGGTGCAGGTGGGTCACGTGAGGCAGCTCCTTCACATCTCGGAGCTGCCCCACCTACACCTTGCCCAGATATCCAGCCCAGCCAGCGCTCAGCTTTTCCTATCATCATCATCATCAGATCCAATACAGTAGTATTGCCTCCACATCTCGTAAGTATGAGATCCCATATGACGGATGGAGAATGATCGCACCATAGAACAGTGGTGACTCCCCTAACTTGTCATAGTAGTAGAAGAGCTTTTGCCACGACTGCTCAATACTACTACGGAGGAAGGATTGCCACTTCTCGTCGAGAGAGTCGAATCGTGAGGCGGCTCGTGAGGCTGGAGATGCCCAGTCTTCACGCACGTGATCTGGGTGGGCCTGGTGGTTATACCGACGACGACGGGGCCTTCCGGATCGGG